CCCGAGCGCCCGCATCTCCGCGTATGCGAACGGTGGGCCGCGGTGGTGAAGAGGATTGAGCCGGCAAAGAACTTCTACGGCGTCAGCTTCTGGATCCCTCCGCGTTGGTGACGCCATCTTCTACGGGCTCCTCCAGTGGTGGCTCTGGATTGCGCGTCGCAGCCGCGCCGCGGGTCCTAACTCTTCTACCGGCCGCTTTCCTTCCACACTTTCCCGCCTCTTCTAGGCTGCGGCTTCGTCTTCCTCATTACTCCGTTCAATGGAACTGTCCGATCCGCACGACTCACTTTCTTCCAACTCGCCCTCCTCAGACTCTTGGTAATCGAGGTCGTCAAATTCCGCCCCCGAGTTTTCTTCTTCTTCTTGTTTGCTCGCCTCCTCTCTTCCTTCCCCTTCCTCCTCATCGCCGGCTTCTCCTTCCACCTCCACTCTTCGGACGATCGGATCCCACAAGGTGAGATCGATCACGTCGATGACCAGGTAGTGGCCTGAGGAAGGGTGATAGTAGTTGTCACCGTCGAGCTCCGTACACTTGGACCACAACAAATGTGGTACCAACGTGCAGGATAGCAGTTGTCACCGTCGAGCTCCGTACACTTGGACCACAACAAATGTGGTCACTCGTCACAGCGCGACAAGATATCCAGAGGTAGATCGTCCAGGAGTTGCGCCAGAACCATCAGGATCTCACTTGTGATTGGCTCCAAATGGTCGTCCCTCACCTTGTCGAACAGAATCCCCAACAGCTCCCCTTCCGTGTCCGTTCTCCACGCTTGAATTATCAATAGCTCCACGTCATCATCGGGGACTTCGTCCTCTTCATTCTTATCGGCCGGCTCCGCCCAATGGAACACCACTTCGAGAAGGCAGAAGTTGAGCGCGACATACGCATTCCACCACTCCACCCACTTGCCGGCGTCAAGGATCGGCACGTCCAATTGCTTGATCCAAAAAGAGAGAAGGACGGCCAAAAGGTACGGAGATCAGAAGGAAGTCCGAAGATCGAGAGGCGGTGCCGGTTCATTGAGGCAGCGCGAAGGGACGAAACTCCGGGATGACGACCTCCGGCGCAAAGAGAAAGAGCCTGAGTTGGCTGAGGTCGATATCGTTGGTGGAGTCGATCCGATCGACTGGCCGAGCTAACAGCTGGACCCACGCATCCGTGAGGTCCCGTGCCCAGAGTCGGAGTTGTCGGAGGGCGCCTGTATGAGCTGATGGATGCAACGCCGAAAGATCGTCGGTGAATGCGACGATCACTGTCATATGGTTGACACCTGGTGGAGACTGCCGTAGAAAAGTTGACACCTTGGCCAACACTCGCATTCGATCGCTGGTCCGTGCAAATCGAAATTCCGCTGCCGCGTGGATTACCTTTGTGCTGAAGAAAGCCACGAAACGGAGCAGATCGGGACTCAATCGCGGTCGCTGTACCTGCCGGATCGACGAAATATGGCCCCCAGGTCTCATTAGACGCTCGCTAATGACCTGCTTTGTAGGAAAGCTCATGGCGATGGGGGAAAAGGTAGTGACAAAGGTTGAGAGGAAGGAGAATCGAAGTATTCGAGTCCAAGATCATCGCCTTCCTCTTGAGAATCGAACGACGTGGACAAGGGGAGAGATGGAGAAGGAGGTAAGGGACGAAGATAGGACACATGTCAAATGATTGGTCGAGCCGATCGGCTGCCCGAGACCTCCGACGCAAGCCGCGCGGTGTTCACTCCGCTGGGACCAAGCTCAACTACGCGGAATCGCCCAAAGTATCGTAGCGCTAACTTGCCCTGGCGAGCACATTTCCTCCTGCACTACGTCCCCTAATTTATACTGGGGTCGAGGCCCAGCATTCTCATTTCGGGCCTCATAGCTACGGACCAGTCGTCCGTGGGCCATTTTGGTCATCCTTCGCCTTTTTCGGGCTAGCCGGGGGAGGGTTTTTTCCATTAACTCTAAGTGGCGTTGAGCCTTGTCCTTGACCGTTATCCTCGTGGCTCGTCGCGCAAGGGTCGTCTCGTCGTTCAGGCTTGGCAGACCTACGCAGGCCAGACCATTGGTCCGTAGCTGAGAAGGGATCACACCGGTGGCCTCATGGGATGTCCCTCAGTAATAACTAAAATGTGGTCTACGATATCGGGCCAAGGCCTCGTATCCCGAGCTGCAATATTTCATCGCAAGGCTGTCTTAATTACCCGGTTCGCATTCTCTACCAGTCCATTCGATTGCGACATATGGGGGCCGTGCGAATGGAGACGCCATGTACGACTAGGCTCCTTAAGACCTCTCCTCGAAATTATGCCCCGTTGTCTGTTAGGATTTCCTCGGTGTCTTGATGCATTCCGAGGAAGCGGTTGACATACCGCACAATTTCCGTCGTCTGTCGTGTCTTGCAAGGATAGGTCTCCATCCATTTCGAGAAATGATCCACAAATACCAGAAGAACTGAATATTCACAGTTATTTGGTCCAAGGGGCACAACAATATTTGTCGTGTCAATGATAACCCTTTGGAACGGCCGCTCGACTACAGTAGGCACTATCGATCTAGGGCCTAGCCGGCTGAATCGGCGACTTGTCTGCCGCGCAGACCGGGCAATTTTTAACAACCGACTTTAACATCATCCCGGATATTGGACCAATACCATTCGTTCTTGCCGATGGCTGCCTCCGTAATCCTGACAGCAAAGTGAGCGGCGGTTTCCTCGTGGGCCAACTTCACAGAGTCGTACCTCAAGAGGATGAGGCAATGACATCCAAATCCCACTACCGCCAATCTTTCATTTTTCCAACCGTCCGTGGCTCCATCGGTAACCCAGTGCCCTCCCGTTAGCTCACCTCCAATCTTCCTCGGTGAATTCCCAAAGGGAGTTCCTGACTACCGTGGCAAACAGAGCTGCCCGGTAAACGGTAGGCAGAGAGGGAGAAGAGGACAACAAACGAGGGGCTGTGACAAACTGTTTCGTCGGAGTTTCACCGACTCGTCATTATGACAACAATCGAGGGAGAAGAGGACAACAAATGAGTCCCGATGAACACCAGGGAAAAAAAAAGACCGCCAAGTTTTCATTGGCATCAGCCCAGGTTCCCGACCCTCTTCCCAACACTGGTGGCAGGCCTCGCTTGGGAGCATCACGCGAGACCCATGATTCAATCATTTGCAGCAAACGAACAACACACCAGCCTTCCCGTCCCACAGCAGAGAACTGCAGGGTCGAGCTGTGGTCGTATGATTCTGGGGTCTCTGGATTCAAAACTCGGGTCTCCATTTCAACAGTTCATTGGGTGTCATAGGTGTACCGACTGCGCTCTGGTCTGCTAAGTATCGAGGGCAACCCAGGACCATTAAGCTAGGCCCGTCGGTAAGGTCAAGCTGTCTTGTTTTCGAATGGAGCAAAAAAGATTGTGTGTATTGCCTAGGACGAGCATGCAGCCTGGTGGAAGCTGAAGAGTCATCTACTACATTTCCTCATGATCCTAATGCGCTCTCGAACAGTCAATCCACGGTCTTCAGCTAGTTCTTCATTTTCTTAAAAACTAGGTACGCATGGGATGCTGGGCCCGCTTCCCAACATGTGTTTATTTGAGAACGAAAAGGAAAAACAAAAGCATACAGGCGCACACAGTGTGAACAAGCCCCTAGATTGATATTCAAATAGGTACGTCTTCCCCTTTTCAACACAAGGTTCGACTTTTGGCTCAAGCAGGGTAGCAGTTTCATCCTAACCAAGGTACCAACAAGCTTCTGGCCCTGATAGTCATTAAATCCCTCTATCACTAACATACATGTACGGTCCCAAAGTCGGATTCAGGTTCGACTTCTGGGACCCCACAGCTTTTCCACTGCAGAGCCCTCCCCAAGCAGCCTCGCCCCTCCTCTCTCTCTCTCTCTCTCTCTCTCTCTCTCTCTCTCTCTCTCTCTCTCTCTCTCTC